ATCCGGTTTCATTGCGGTTCCGTCTGTCCTCTGACGTTTCCACGGCAACCTGAATTTCGTACATCGCCATCTCCGCCGTCGGCGTCGTTGCCTACCGCCGCCGTTTGTCCTCTTCGTCGTCATCTTTCTTGTTGTCGTCGTCACTGTCGTCGTCATTGTCGCCATTCTCATCGAGGTACAACCTCAAAGTCTCTCGTAGCGGTTCCCTCCATTCGCTGGCGGGGGATACGGAGAACCCGTAATTGTAACTTCATTTGGGGCTAATTTCGGCCGGAGGGTATGATGAAACGCGGTAATAATTGCGTTATCCAGACAAAGGACGGTTATGGATACGCGCCGCCGCCACTGCCGGCGTTTCCAACGTGGAGGCACCATCCCCCGGATCCTCCGCCCACCCCCGAGGGTGCTGCTATGCCGGATAATGTAGGAGGGCCTCCTTCCCTTTCGCTCCCGCGCACCGCAAATATGGCTGCTTTAACGAAGTCCACGACCATGGTGCACCATATTGTTCTCTCTACGGCCATGTGTGTGCCGCTATTCATTTAAACACCGACATCCTATCACGCTTCCAGGAGAGAAATCTCTCGTTTTTAACTTGTCTTTCGAACAGTTTCGACCGGCATTCAAAAATCATCCTGTTATATTATTATTTTCTCGAAAAGTGAGCTGGCATTGAACATTTTGCTCGGCGCAAGGTTCATTGCAGATAAACCGATGGTCGTGAATAAAACATTTCCGAGCGCCAATGCGATATTTATCAAGGAAATTAGCGTTTGCCAAGAATGCGAGGTGGCGAACCAATCTCTTCGGTAAGTGAATTCGAGTCGAGATGACAAATGCGGCGATTTGACGGCTTCCTGCTGAAGAGGAGTCCTCCCGCGATGCTGCGTGGAATGGTAAATAAGCTCGTCGGGGTAGGCAGAGCATTATTTATGGGGATGTAATTTAATAACCGAAAGATGAACAGGGAGATATACCGGTGACGCCGGCCGGAAAGGCGAAAGTGGCATGAAAGTAACAGCCATCCCATTGGCTGTCCCTCTGTGTCTTTCTGCGTCCTCCAGAAGAGCAGCCAGCCATATGGCCCGGGCCGCTCCTGCGCCGCCACCTCGGGAGATTCCGGGGGTGCGAAATGATATGGAAGTAATGGAGAGCGAAGCGGAGCCGGTTGCGCCTCGACGGGAGATTGAGTCGTGCGATAGAAACGGAGCGACGCTGCCGCGCACCGGCGCGAGAGAGCGATGACAGATTGATACAATTCCGGCGAGATTCGACGCGACAGATTTTCTGCCAACTGTTGTCGCCGCGCTGGTCATTACGTCGAATTAAAGCTACGACTGCAAATGTGATCGATCGTACGGTACTCTGCGAGATCGCGCGCAGACCTGATTCATTCTTCTATTTTAAATGCACCTTACTGTGGCGGAATCCGCGAAATAATTTGCCATTTACGAAACGTCGAAAAGGAGAGAGTGACCAAAGATCGATATAAATCGCGTGAAATTAACATTCGAGGGATAATCCTCGAATCTTCGTCGCGTAGAGAAATTTCAAGCTTGACTTCTGATTCGAACGTTGCCCAACGACTGGTATTCCGCGAGCGGAGGATTCTCGACCGGAACAACAGGAAGTCAAGGGAGCGGCGGCTTCTTCCTTTGGCCCTGATATCGACTCTGTCGTAACTTGCGGCTTCGGAGGCGAATGCGAGAGGCACGCGAGAGCGTGACGTCGGGGGCTGCGTCAAGGAAACGAGAAGAAGGAGGCTGTGAACCCGGCGTAAAGCTCTCGGGCGAACCTCGCTCCTTATCGATCTGCTCCTGAGACTCCTCCGACGAAGAAGAAGGGAGAGAGGGATCGACACCAAGAAAGCGCGAGAGAGAAAGAGAGAATGGTTTGAGAGAGGGGTGGGCCTTTGCGGGTTTGTATACGTGTAAGATAGACCTCGGTAGAGAACCGCCTACTCGACCGTGACTCCGCAGCCGAAGCCGAGCCTATCAATATTTCCTCCCGAAATTCACCGCAGCTCCTTCGACAATCCTCTCTTCGCATCCTTTTTTTAAACACTCCCGATTTTAACCTTTTCGATTTTATACAGCGGATGCGTTCGCTTTTCCGATCGTGCGCGACCTTTATGCTTTCGATATTCTAAAGTTCTTTTGTCCCCCTTTTAATTACCAAACGCATTTACGTTAAATGGTTTCCGATTACCGCGCTCCGGCCCGCTAAATGTATAAATAAATTGGCGACATGAAATTCCTTTTACTAGAAAGAGAAAAGCTGTCTTCGTAAGAAGCGCGCAAAGGAAACGTTCTTTTTTAATCACGACGGGCATTCTGCGTTTCATAAAGAGCGCGCAATGAGAACAATAGAAAGAAGTCGCTGCGTCGGCGTCTCTAGCGAATAAAGAAGAAGCTCGGAACTGTTAGCGTCCAATCTCCTCTCCGTTTTTCGCCTATTTTTCCGCTCTCCTCAATCCAGTCTTATACACGGGATATATAACTGTTATTTTTCGCGAAAGCCACTCCATTATTTCGCTCTTCTGCTCCGCCTTTTTTTATCTCGCACGACTCTCCCATGCCGCTTCTCCGCTCTCGCTCTTTCTCTTTCTGTCCCGCGTTTGCGGACGGTCTCATTTCGAAGTGCTCCGGCAAAGCAAGACAATACATTATATTAGCTATATCATTATTTCTCCACCCCGAAGCTAGAAAAACCGGGACATGCTCATAATGGGAGAAATCCCGGTATACTACGCGCTCCGGTCGTTGATGCACCCAGTTCCTGTTTCTTCGTGGCAAAATCCCATTTGATATCGAGACCTCTCTCTCTCTTCCTTTGCACTCGTTTCTTTAAACTAAACTTCCAGCTGCACCAAAGGTCTCGTCGATGAAAGCACGATTCGATCGATTTCAAGATTTCCTTTTTTATTCTCTATTCTTCTCTATCACCATTTCCCTTTTCTTTATCAATTGTCTACTACCGTCCAAGAGTCGCGGCATTCGTTCGTCAGGTTTATACGCGATAAAGTCGTAACATGACAATCTCTGCGCCGTCACGCCGTTTCGACGATCTTACTTTCCCCTCTGGAAACTGCGCCGTCATCCCAATGAATTTCATATCTGTCTGTATCGGACGGAAACTATATTCGCTTCGACGCCTCGCGGAATATAGCATTTAAAGTCCTTCTCGTTATCAATCGTTATACAATTAGCCTGCGGGAGTACGTGCCGAGTGTGCGTGGGCATTTTCTAAAGGGACCCAAACGCGCGCGCATTTCTATCCGTTACTCGTCGAGCGGAAATGCATTTACTTGTACCGAATGGATAGGGCGGAAGGTTGCGGGTTCGGTGTACGTGAGTGGGTGATGGTACGTTGGATAGGTGCATGTAGATAGCGAGCAAGGTAGGTAGGTAGGTAGGTAGGTTGGTAGGTAGGTAGGTAGGTAAGTATCCGCGGAGTAAGTTTTTCCAGGCGATCTGCTCTCCGGATTCAGATCAATACCCGCCATCTGGGCCTCGAATCGGGGGACAGGGACAAGGAGGAAAAGGAGTCTCGCGGTGGCGAGAAGGAGACCGTGGCCAAAGAGAGGAGGTGAGAGTGAGAGGGAGCGGGAGCGAGGAGTCGGGAGAAGGCGAGAGCGTGTGCCGGAGGTGGAGCCGGAGGTGGAGGAGTCACTCGAGCAACAAGCCACCGCCGCACCCTCGACTGCAATCCTAGACACATCGAAAACCTCGGCCAGAAAGTAATTCCTGTACATACACACGCCCACGTTTCACGCTACTGTGACCGCGCGACGCGAATAGTGGAAGAATGAAAATATGTACGAGGTAACTCTTATGACGGCAAAGTAAGCTTGACGAAACACCAGGGAATGTGACGGGGAGACGTTAATTGCTTTCTATTTGGGTAACCACTGTTATGCGAGTTTATTAAAACTTTCTCTCGTGGCGTAACAATTACCTTATAGCACACGGCTCGAACTCTACCAGGAGAATCGTGAAAAAGATCAATTATAACTAAATCGATGATCGTCATCTCGTGACTGAATCGGCGGGATGGATTTTTACGGCGATTGAGATCCTCGGCGGGCAAGTGTATCGCGAGGGTAATTGTGTGGCCGGACTAATCTCTCGCTCGCCACCGCGACGCGAAATTTAAATAAGCGGCCGCGCGCACAGCACTTACGTCGTTACGTGGGCGCTAACTCATTTGCGTGTGTTTCCATTAGCGGCTGCGGTCCGTAGAAATCACGTTAGCGAATTTCACTTGCCGGCAATTCGATTCGCATTACGCTCTATTTCATTATCGGCTGCGTGCGCGCGAGAAAGACCGAGTCGGACCTCGGAGAAAGATAGCCTGGTCTGGCCCTTGTAAACTAAGCGGGAGATAAGGTCCTAAGTAGTGACTGATTAAATCTCGGGACATATGCGAGCCGATCGATGGGTACCCCGGTGTCTCCTACTCTCTGTCCCTGCCTGTCCTACCTACCCACCTACCCACGCATTCCTTTTCCCGCTGTGTACCCTTGTAGCTTTTCAGTTGGTCGAAAGGGGATCGAGTCGTTCAGTTTGTGCGGTGCTGATACGCTGTAATGCTGTCCCGCGGGAGCTCACTCCCCCTAGCTCTTGTAAGGGCAGCCCTAGGACACTCGTGTTCCGTTGGCCCGCCGCATCGTCGGGCGACGCAAAAACACTTGAATTAATCGGCCCGGTCCCGAAGGAACCTGCGAAAGGTCAATAGGATCGGGGTGACGGCCCGGATGCGTACTTATCTCGATGCACGTACGAGGGTGCACGCGAACGCTTCGTGCGCGCATGCGAATAGCTGATCGCGCCCCTATCGTCGCTGATCGGCTCGAGCATATGTCGCGATTCCTCGGGGTAAGCGCCGGGAACGATGTAATCTGTTGTCTTCCGCCGGCAATTAGTGAGATAAAGTGGCATCTTCGTAACACGCGTCTTTACGCTGTAAAGATCGTGGACGCAGCATCAACGTCGACTCACCGATTGATGGAAGAGACGGATGGCACGTTGTCCTGCGAGCAAATGCCTTCGGCCAGCAACCTGTCCCTGATTTCCCACGCGAACATGGTCGGATTGTCTCTCTTGTAATTAGCAATCGCGTCGACGACCGGCGGCGTTGCTACCTTCGGCTTGGAGCCTCCTATGACACCGGCTTTGAAACTACCGGTCTCGTAATACCTGCAAAATAAAATTGATATTACAATTAGTTTCATCTTATGAATGAATCACAACGCGCGGAAGGAAGAAATCTTTTGATCGGTCTTAAACTGCACTTGAAAGCGCGATGCCGACGAGAGATCGGTTGCCAAAGTTCGCGGTTCAGTCTTTCTCTCTCCCTCTCTCCCTCGCTCTACGACGGAACATGGGAGGTCGAGAGAGGAAAAAGAGAGAGGAACGAACGTTTTTCCCGCGGTGGGCGGCCAACGTCGGAATAACGAATCGCCGTCCAGCGGCGCGTCAACGACCGGCTGTTTTAAAACAAACGGCTTCTGGCCTCCCGCTGTTGCCTCCCTCTCTCTGCTCTTTGGACCTCTCTTCGTCCCTCTCGTTCTCTCATTCGTTCCTCGTCTCCCGGGCCTCCCACCGGCGGGGTGCGTATATATGCGCGCGAGATGAGCAATCACGATTGGCCCGCCGTGAACGCGCCCTTTGTGCCTAATTAGTTAAATAATATCTTCGCTCGTGCTTAAATTCAATTACGCCGAATAGCCCGCAATAATGGTTCGCTTGTGGGCCGCCTTGATGGATGTGGGTCCGCCGCCAGCGTCGGCGTCGGCATCGGCATCGACATCGGCGTCGGCGTCGACTCGTACCGGCTGGATATCTGGCCAATTTTGCGTGCGTACGTGCATCGCGCGCGCGCGTGTATGTGCACTGCGGAACATGAACACGCTCCAGTATTAGACCTCCGCGTTTTTCAGTGAAAAATATTTGCGCGAATAAAAACGTCGTAACAGGTTTTTTGCGTTGCATGTCACAGGAAAAATGGGTTTCGGATTGTTGAGCCGAATTATAGTCCTTTGCGACAACCTGATCCTTCGTACGAATTTTGATTGTTGTAAAGGGATGAAAGTTTTATTTAAAACTGTAATATATATATATATATCTATCGTCATAGATTGAACGATATCTCTTTGAGAAAGATATTACTTTGAATATTTTATGATTGTCAAATTGTATGTTGAAATAGGTATCGATTGCCATTTTATCGTACACCCTCAGAAAGGATTTCTGTTACCGAGACAAAAGATATGTTCTTGACGCATTTATATTTCTCACAACCTCATTTAGTATAAAAATAAGACAATATCACAATAAAATAAATAATTCTTATTCTTCTCTATCGAATTAAAAAAGATTGACTTATTATATTGCGACAAGAGTAACTTATATAAATGTAAGTTTATATATTCTTGCGTTTAGAATAAAAATTTTCCCTTCATCTTACAACGCACGAACGTTGGCACCACGATATTCGACAAAAGACAATTCTAGATTTTAGAATTTTTTTATGTAAGATTAAAATATTCCTTTCTCCATAATGAATATGATTGGCGCTATATCGATCCTATTTTATGATACATTCAAGTGTAATAGCATTGGATCCGGAATTTTTTCCTGTGGGTGTATTGTCGAAGCGAAACACTTGATCGTATACCTACAGACGAGAGTATTATGCAATCGGGCGGCCTTGAACAGTCCTGGGTCTCGCCATCCCCACGAAATTATCGCGATCATATCTGGTGCAAAACCCCATTTCAGGCCCACATGGCATTGCTCACCCGTTAATATTTCGTCCCCCTCATTCCGCCTCCACCGTGAAATGGCCATTAGATCGCGCGATTTTTCAAATTGCCCTGCCATCGCTGGCGTGTTACTCACCCTTGCCGTATTAATTCAGATTTAAATGGATTCGAAACAGTCTTGCGCGAAATCGAAAACACCTCCGTGAAAGAATGGCATTATTTATGCCCCTCGTTAGGGGCTCGTGCTGACTTTCACGTTAACATTAAAAGTACTGCGTGCACACTTGACGCGAGGCGTGCACGGTGCAATTGTAGTAATGGAGTAGATTATAGAAAAATATAAATTGAGGAGTTCGCTGGAAGAACAATTTAAGTCGACTTTTAAGCTGTTTTTTCATATACCTACAAGAGCTAAACTAAAAGCTTTATAATCGCATTGTACAGATTAATAAAATCTGCACAGATCTATAAAATGTGCACTTGGAATCCTATAGTTTGGTCAATAAATACGTAAATTTTCACTGAAACCTGCGAGTGTAAAATTTTTATATGAAAACTCGAGTCGTTCTTCCACCAAACTCCTCAATTATTTAATCGCTAATTGAACGAGAAGTTAATCAAGCATTTACATAAAATGACGAAACAAACGAGAGAAGACGTATCGCCGCATTTGCACGCTAGAAAAAGGCAGTTTTGCAGAATTTGAGTCGTAACATTTCACGCAGTCCCCAGAATCTGCGACGTATCTAGAATACAGAAGCGGGCTCACGAGCGTGACACAAAGGGCAACGAGACGACGGTCCCTCTCGCGTTTCTTCCTTCGAACGTAACCCTAAAAAAGTAGAACACTTTGTATCTCTCCGACGCGACAGTCAGTCAAAAAGGTTTTCCGAGCAAACGAGGAACGACTCGATTTCGTGGGGTCGCCGGCATCGGACTTTTCAACGCCGTCTTCGTCGACGATTTTACGAACCCTCGCCTAGAGTCGAAAAAAATCCCGGTATCCGGTTTCGCTTAGATTCGGCGAAGCGGGTATCGCGACACGCGGCGTTCTCATCTCTATCAGCGACGCGTGACTGCGTAAACCGTGCCGTCGGTGTTAACGATGTCACGTCGGTGTCGTCGACAGGCCCCATGTTTTCGCTGTACTTTCGGGCCATAAAGTCACATCCGCACACACTACACGGAAGAACTATGTATTTAGGTGGGACGAGCGCTAAGTCCCCCGCTGTCTACGTTTAAACTTAGCAGCGTATGACACTCGAGAACCATAACGCCTGTATTGGAACTGTTAACGAGGCATTACCCTTTGGTGCTCGTGACATAACTTCCGGATCCCTCGGCGTTAAGATGCAAGATTGAAATTGTCCGAAATTTTATCTCTCGTATTTTGACACGCAAGTGAAATTCGACCGACGGATCGCGCGCGACGTTCACATTGTTAATGACGAAATCTCGTTTCTCTGGCTCGATCCTCGCCTCAAAAAGGGGTCCTCGCTAAAGAAAGAAAGAGGAAATGGTAACTTTAGTCGTGGCAGTAAATAATCCAGCCGGCCTTTATTATGCGGGATTCATGAAAGAGCACGCATATGACAATGATATTCGGGGGACGCGAATGACGTTCGGACCATCAAAGCGGCACGAGGCCACCCGTTATATAGCGGAGCGGGATCTGGAGGGTGGAAAAAACATGGAAACCGCATATCGTCGAGCACCCCCGCGTCGCGAGGGGTACGAGGACTGGTTCCTTCCTTCCGGCCTCGTCGTCTCTCCGTTCATCCCTCGGATTTGTTCGTTTCGCGAATCCTAACAGCGTCTTTAATTAAATTGCTTCGGGAAGAGCAGTCTCTCTTTCTTTCTTTTTTTTTCGCCCTCTCATCTCTCTCCTCTCTCTTTCTATCCGCGATTCGAACGACCTTGGCCACTTCGCGGCGCGGAAATTGCGGCGTGGCATTTGGCAAGACAAACTTGATTCTCTCATAAATCACTTGCCCTTCGGCGACGTTGTTTGCTCGTTATCCGCTCTCCGATCTTGGCAAATGCGATTTTCAGATACAATTATCTACACACTTCTGATACGTTTCAGTTAATCGCTCGCTACGCTGTTTCAATAAGTCACGTTTTAAGATACGACATTAAACTCTTGACTTTTGCGCGGGATTTATTTTTATTTTATTTTTTTTTTTAGAGATTCGCGCACTTAGATTAGCAATTTCGCCCATCTTGCGCGCCGCTGTTGAAACGAGGTATTCGGTGGGAGGCTGCGGTTGTAACGGATACGGAAAGAGTGCGGCACTCACCTCGACAGTATCTTGGATACACAGCCATGAGATACCCTGAGTTGTCTTGAAATGTCGCACGGTCGGACGCCGCTGTGCGCGAGCTCGACGATCCTCTGCCTGACTACATCCGGTAGGGGCCTTCCGTTCACAAAGACGCCGCCGAGTTGGTTGACTCCGCCATGACCTGGAAAAATAGGGGATCGATAATGCATTAGTCGACTATAAGACCTTAACTCTTTGAACCCGAGAGCGAGTCCTAGCATTATAACGCTTATATTACAAGAAATATGCCGTATTGGTGTTGTGCGGCAAAAACACGTAAGCCGCATCAATGTCGTCTGTACTGTCTCGGTTTTAAAAGCCGAGAAGTGACGAGCGCGAATTCAAAAGGTTAATGTATCAACCGTGAACGATCCGCCGTGAAATCACGGTGTTAAACGCGATTTGCGTGTGAATCAGGCTTCACGCGCGTGCTAGATCCACGATCGTTAAGAGAAGCTGGCAGAACGGATCGCGAACGCCAATGTAAATCTTCTGTCTCGCGCGGTCTATCGCTACGGAATTATTCCACTTGACAGACTCCGTGAAAGAATGTCGTACCGTTCGCCGACGGGATTTTCTGTTGAGAGAGCGACTTGTCTCTCACGCTTTAGTAGTTTTAAAAGTAATGATTTATTACACGTTTACCTTTACATTCGACATATGATACATAAATACTGCGTATCTGATAGCCGTAGTGGCACAATAAAGCGCGAGACGACAGATAAAGCGTCGGGAATAAAACGCAAAACTTTAATATCTCTCCCGGCTCATCATTTTCGCAACATCGACAAATATATTTCAGGGTCGATACTGCGAGAGCATTCATTATTATTAGTTTACACCCCGCTGCCACTCGTGTCTGTTCTACGGCGTTCGTAGCCTTCATTTTCGCGCGTTAAAGCTACCTAATGCGATAAGTTGGAGCCAATATCGTAATGGAGGGTTCTGCGTCGCGACATATGCCTTTCTCTTCGTGCCAGTGCGCCGATGATTCGATGATCATCGTTGTTTCCGATGAACCCTCGACAATGAGTTAAGTTAGCCGCTATCGCTCTTATGGCAGCCTGGCCGAATATTTTCCCCGCCCGACACTTGTCCCGATAAATATATTCCTATCAGTAAATAATAAATTTGCCAATTATTCATACACTTTCAAGTATGTTATAATTGAGGGGTTTGGTGAAAGAGCGACTTAAGTCGACTTGACTTTTCGTATAAAAGTTTTACATTCAAAGTTTTGAAATTAAAGATTTACCGTATTTATTGACCAAACGATGCAATTCCAAGTACACATTTTATATTGATCTGTAAAGCACGATTATAATTTTAGCTTAGTTTTTACAGTGCACGAGAAAACAACTTAAGTCGGCTTAAATCGTTCTTCCGCCAAACTCCCCGATTATTCGGCATCGTCTACGTTCGTCAAAGCTAATTCGAAGGAACGAATTTAAGCATGTGACAACGAGTCATCGCCGTCGATATAGCACGCGCGTTCGCATTTCCATCCGAGGGGTTTCGTAATTACAGTAACACCGCGATCTATGAGGCGTGAACCACGACATTTTTTTGCCGTTTGACCGTATATCGTATCGCTCACTCGATGATCTCGCCGCCGCACGAAGACAATGAGGTCTCCGCGATCATTACTGGAAACGATACGTGCTTTCCGGTCGCAAATCAATTCGCTCTCGCGTTTATGGTCGCATCCCCGCGGCGCGGCCGGTAGTCAGGGGGATAGTTGTTGGGATCATGGTGGCATTGCCAGGGCGAAAGCACCATGACTACCCTACACGCACACACGCCGTCACGCCTGCTGGCCACAGCTATACGAGGGCTCCGAGTCCGGCCTGGACCACCCCCGAATCGGCTAGCTGCTGCTACTGCTATTGCTACTACTACGGGTTTTGCTGCCGTCGCTGGATACTGGCCACTGTATTACTGAGGCTTATTGCCGCCGCTCCGTGCCGTTCCGCACTTCTGGGATACGTCGAATCGAGAAATGCAGCGTCTCCTCCCGCGTAATTGCGTTTCTCTACACCCATTGTCTGTATCTTGCAACGTTTCTCTTATATCTGGGAATATAGTATTACATGAAAAATTGCGGGATTTGCTACACGCTGTCGTGTTAACAAAAAAAAACCCGAAACAGTCTTTCGATTTTGACTAGCCTGAAGAGGATTGACGGTACTCTTTCCGTTTTATTTGTGCTTTTGGAAGTGTTTCAATAGAAATCCCTTACTCGATGAAACGTCATTTGACACGCCGAGAAAAATATCCAGTTAAATATAATCGGATAATCCAATTATGTAATAACAAACGGACATATCCGATTAAATTGTATATCCGATGAAAAATATGATCAGGTTTTCAATCAAGTTTCGTCGGTAACTGCATTTCATCGGATACGTACATAATTTAATCGGAAAAAGTAACCATTGGAAACACTATTTAATTGGTTTATCCGACGGAAACTTTTCTCAGTGCAAAAGATGCGCTCACGATCGTCAATCAATGACTCGTACGCATTAATTCGTCGAGCCACATCCAAGTTCATGGCTCCATAAAATCGGGTTTATGATTTTATCACCGTTCCGATTGACAATCGGACAGAGAAAGCCAACAGTGTTTCCTAATCAATTCTAAGCAATTCGAGCCGGCGATATAAAAAAAAAGTCGATGCAAAATAAGATGACCTGGCTGTGCGCCGAGCTGCTGCGGACTACTTCCGGACAAATGCGATTCCCATCGGCCGAGTCGCCATTACATTTTCATTACGGACGTGCCCATGTCTCAATGGCTACTGCCGCGCTAACGATATCCTTGAAATCTCGTCGCGGTCTGAATTGAGATGGCTCAATCCGGTTTGCGTTACCTCTCAGATCTCATCGAAGCTGATTTCTTTAGAAAAAATGATATTCACAACCATAAGAACAAAATATATGTGTGAATGTGGTTCTTAAACATTTTTTACTAAAATGAAACTATTCCAGACGAATGAAATTACCATCGGAATCATCGATGATAATTACACCTTGCCAATTTTATAAATTGTGTAGATTAATTCCTTCGGATTTAGATGCGTCCGTTGAGAGAATCCGAGCCGTGCACGCGGCTGAAAATTTGCACGTATGCGAGAAAACGTACAGTCTCCGTTCCACTTTTATGTGCTAGCGGAATGGAGGACCGGTCCAGAGGAACTCCAGAGCCAATAAAATGAGTCCCGGGTGATACACGATCGGCGGTTCGGTACGTGTGTATATTGGAAGCCAAGAACTTTGATATAGATTCCCGTATAGTCACTCGATATTTCTCCAGCATCGTGCTGCTTTGTTCCCGTATTACATTACGCCTCGGCGTTATGTATTACCGGCACGCCTGAATACGACGGACTTTATTACCTGTTGGCTAGAAAAATACGCGCACAAATGTAATTCATCGGTATGGCGTGCGATGCCTTAGAATTTCGCTATTGTAATCAGAGCGGTTATGTCGCGATTGAAAATTGAGATGGCGTGAACGTCATTGATAATAAAGATACGCTGAGATCGTCTCGTCGGCAGACAACTAGTGAGTTAACGATACAACGTAATGTAGGATAACGTACCGATGAACGTTGCATTCTTAAATTTCTCAAGTGCCGAAGTGAAAAAGCACACAGTTCGGCATAGATGATTTTACAACGCGTGGCCGATCACTGATTGCCGTCGTTCCTGTTAATGTTGCATAGTTATTAGCATTCCATTAGATTTAACGGACCAGCTGCGCGCTCACGAACGGAACGTACGGTGATTTTGATTGCTACAACTTTAAAGTGACGCTCGAATCAATTAATACGTCCCCCGACTGCCGATTGAGCGGAAATGCTTGCAGATTCGTTTTATTTTTACGTAATATTCTAGACAAAGTTACGGCGGGAAATCACTTTTTTTTCGTAGACAAATTAGAATCACTTGGTAAATAATGTTCTACAAAGAGGCGAATCGAGCGGGTCATTATAGAAATGTGGATGCGCAACATTTTTTTTTTACAAATTCAAGGGAAGAGAGAGTTTCGAGGTCTTTGCGAATAGCTCCTACGCAGATCGTCAGCTACAATGATTGCGGTTTAGTTTTTCGTCGGTGCCGGTACCGCTACGGCTCAGTTAACGATCGAAGGCCATTGGATTTCTTGTTTTCGCACTCTCGTTTACCCACCGACACCGTGGATTCGCGACTCTTTTCTGATTCTCTCATCTTGTTTGCTCTATTTAATCGACGCTCCGTCGGCGAACTCCAAGAGAAATCGTGTGATCCCGGGAGAATCGTTTTACACGCGAGAACGCCGCGTTTCGCGGTTCTTCTTGCATTAGTTATCGACATCCGCTGATAATCGCATCTATGTTGATCTTGTGCGCAACTTTGCGTCGCGCTAGAAGAAATATAAAATGTAAGGAATAGACGGTAAACTGAAAGCAACGAAAAAAAAACTCCACGTACGAAGAAAAAGTCCCCGATCGCAAGGTTAGATCCATTTATGTCTAGATATCTATTAAAATCGTGCCGTCATGGTTGCCACTTGCGCAAATTCTTGTTAATGTGAGCTGAGAATTGGCGGACAAAATAGAATCGTGGCGATTGAATTGCATCCGATACTATCGAATATAAGGTTTGTTTTCTAGTCCTGCACTGGTCAACTAGTGCAGTAAGAGAATGAGAAAAATATACTTGTCTTATTCTAATTTATTGCAGTTCACCAGTGTAGCAACAGGAAACAAGCCAAAAGTCTAACAAGATAAAAGAAGAACCGAGTGAGACAATAACATCGTAGCGATACATTTCAATATTATAATCCAATTTTGAGCATGTATATATCGAATATTAGCAGATTCGGATGACCATTCAGCTTCGCGGACCAGAAAAAGAGAAAATAAAAAGGCCTACGCTAACGCTAGCGAGACGTTTGAAAAGTACATCTTTATATCTTACAAGTGTAATATTCCATCATGTTCTGATTGTATCGGTAGGCACTACTCAGAGTAGTGCTGAGGTCCATCGCGGCACTTCCAGGCCCGACGGCCATCGGGAATCCAGCTGCCTGCGTCTCCCGGAGCGGAGCAGACTTTATGTGTAACGTGTGAAGCGCATCCGAAGGACGGGCGGTCCT